CCCGGCCTGACTCCCCCTCCCTGGTGAATTTCCTGCCTCCTCACCAAACTTCTTCAAACTTTCCCCAGTGCTGCTGGGACGCGAGCGTGTTTCTCAGGCGGAGGAGGAGTCACCCCTCCGAGATTCTTCTCTCCCAGTCCCGACAAAACTAGCCACTATCCCGATCTTCCCCATCTCCCATTGTGTACATATTATTGGGAGGGGGGGAGAGTTGCAGCGGTCTCTCGGGTAAAACTTTTCTTTCCCTTCCCTTTGAATCTTTTGGTTTGAGACTGGAAGCTTCGTCCGTCCTTGGCCAGCTTCCTCGGGATTTTGCACAAAAGCCTGACTTGCCCCTTTTCCGAGGGGAGAAAAACCTGGGGGGATTCCAGTGACTTTTGCGCCTTGGGAGAAGCAGTTGCCTACGGGTGACTCGAAGACGTTTGAAGCAGGTAAGCCGCAGCTGCAACAGTTGGGGTGGGGGGGATTGCTTGAAGTTTCTGAAGCTGAATTGCGGGCAGGCTTGCTGTGTTAGCAGTTGATCCATCAGGGCATCATTTAACGACTGCAAAGTACAAGCTTGTCATAAAGCACTTTTATAGTGTGTTGTTTTGCATTTAAAAAAACCCCCTTCGGTCTGTAATGTGGAACCGGTTAACGTGCAGTTATTGAGGCAAGATGGTGCTTCTGGTTTTATTTCTTGCTGAAACTTTATTTTGGTTTAGACTTGTTAACCTGCTGGTTTAGTGTGCAAAGGCTGAATTGAGAATGAAGGCCTTTTTGAACCAAGTATAACCTGCCCCCCCCTTAAAACTTTTATTCATGTTTCATTAAATGCCTGTAAACAGGATAACTTTTCTCACTATCTGGCTTCTGAACCCTGCAGCAGCGTGACTCTTTGCTCAGTTTCCAGTCACCCTCCCACACTGTTGGGTGGATTTACCTTCTCGCTCTTTGTTAGCTACCAGTCAAGTCTGTACTGGTCATTTGTCTTTGGCAAACAGTGTGACAAGAAGTTAGGAATGCAGTGGGATCTGCTCCTGTTCCTTATGGGACAGAAATCCATTAATCTCAAAAGTTTTTCCAAAGCTATGTATGAAGGTATGAGTCACTAGACACACAAAATAGATGTGTGTGTAGTGTGTGTCTAAGGCTTGTAAATGGGATGAGGTTTGCTACTTTTGAACTCTGTGGGTAATGTTAGTGAAGGGCCTTTTGATTACAAGTTTGTCTCTTTGCAATCTTGAGTAATGTACATAATGAAAGGTGCAGATAATGAAAGGAAGAAGAATCATATTTGTAAAATGTTGCTTAACTTCTTGTGTGTCTCTCTGTCTCACACACACATTTTCCGTGGGTGCACAGTTGAAGGAGGTCATGCAGAACCAGGAATTGTTAACAAACAAGTGTGTCCTCGTGCATTGGATTTTGCAAGTTCTAACTGCAAAGTGCTTGTGTGCATGAGTGGTTTTAAGGTCAGGTACAAAAGTGGCAGTGTACAAGATTAGGTTCGCCTAGGTCACTGTCCTAAGAACATAAGAAGAGCCCTGCAGGATCAGACCAGTGGTCCATCTAGTTCAGCATCCTGTCTTATACCATGGCCTGTCTCATACAGTGGGCCAAGCAGTTTCAACAGCCAACAACAAGTCCTGCTTCCAGCAGTCTACATCAAGATGCAAGGAGGGCGTCAGGGGCATGGTTCCTACCCCCATTTGTCCCTACAGTCTCATAGCTTTCATATATTTGCTTGTTGACTGGTTGCTACAAGTCTGTAGCTAATGCCATCTTTAACACCTGTAATTCCCAGTGGGCACCTGAAATGGTTCAGCACTAGTTCCGCTTAATGTTACTGGGTGATACCGCCAGGCACAACTCACTGGATTCTGGCCACTTGAAGGTAGGGGCAAGGGCATGAAAAAGAATTGCAAGGCCTTTTTCCTTCCACCCTGAGCCAAGAGCTCAGGGTTATATCATTATTTCATTATTATTTGGCTGGTTCACACAATCTCATGCTCCACTTAATTTCTCTATGCTTTGTTATTATACACTAGCTAACCACCAGTTGGAAGTGTGAACTGCCTCTATGGAAAAGCAGTGAGTGTGTGGGTGTGAAAGCCTACTCTTTTTGGGTAGGTGGGGTTGATGTGGCCTATTGTATAATCTGGAGTATATTTTAAATGTATGTATATGTTATTGGCCTCTTTAGAGAGTCTTTTGCTATGGACAAACAAGGATGAATGCTGTTTCTATCATGTTGAATCTGTGATGGCCTTATTCACATGTGATTTGTTGCTTTATGTTGTAGTCAGTCACTGGCATACCATGTGTGAATCAGCCACTCTGTGAAGTAAGTTAGGCTGAGAAGTAGTGCTCTGTCTCAAGTGGATTACTGGCCTTTGGGGTGTCCCATAACCAAGCCCAACATTCCATTAATCCATTATTCCATTAATGATTATTTTAGGATATGATACCTTGTAGATACAATGTACGAGGATCTGGATGTATTTTCTTTGCACAGTTGTTTTTCGGAGTGTTCTCATTTTGTGACTTTTCCTGAACAAGTAGGCAGATGATGCTGGTGTCCCTCCCTGTTGACTGATGATGATGAGGGTGGAATCTGGGGTACAAGAAATTCTATGCTCACTGATTTGAGTATTGAGATTGAACTCAGTGGATCCTATGTAACCATGCTTAGGATCACAGCGCAGGTTGATTAATCATATCAGTTTTAATTGATTAAATTACTTAAATTTGCATATAAAAACAGTAGCTTTGAAAGCAAAAAACATTTTTTTAGCTTATACATGTATTTATTGTAGCAGATGTCCTGTTAAGAGGTATGAGTTTCCTTATGTTGAGTATAGTTAACCTTTTTAAAAATATCTGCTTATTAGGGAACATATTATAAGTTGATCAAAAGCTGTTAGAATTCTGGATTAGAATCTGGGGGACTGGGATCTGATGAAGGGAGCTTCGACTCTTGAAAGCTTGTACCCTCCCCCCCATTGGTCTCTTAGGTGCTACTAGACTTGAATGTAGCTGTTCTACTGCAGACCGTCATGGCTTCCCTCTGAAACTAGGTTGAAATCTCGACTCTGTCATCGATGCTTGCTGGGTGCCCTTGGGCCAGTCACACACACTCTGCCTAACCTACCTCAAAGGGTTGTTGGAAGGATAAAATGGGTGAGAAGCAATGTTCCCTTTAAGCTGTAGAATCTTGCGAGCAAAAATTCTACTTTGTGAGCTACTGGTGTTAAAGTTGTGAGCAACTGACCTGGCTGCTGCATAAATTAGTTTGCTCCAGAGCCCTCCTTCCTGAGCGAAGACAAAAATGTGTGAGCCAGAGGCTAAGAAATTGTGAGCTAGCTCACACTAACTCAGCTTAGAGGGAACAGTGGTGAGAAGAATGATGTAAGCAGCTTTGGGTTCCATCGGGGAGAAAGACAGGGTATCAGTTCATAAACCGAGTTAATACCTTGGTCCTTAAACATGTTTATTTGGAAGTAGATCCGACATTGTAGTAAGGCTGCTGGCAATAGTAGTTTTACGTCGATAGCAATAAGCTGGACTATTATTTCTACAATGCAGACAATTGCCTACGCACTGTACAAAAGTGAAATAAAAACACCAAAGCCTTCACTATTTGCTTTGAAATCTAAAACAGAGGTAAAGGTTCCCTTGCTTGAAAGCCAGTCGAGTCTGACTCTAGGGTTGCCGTGCTCATCTCCGTTTCAAAGCCGAAGAGCCAGCGCTGTCCGAAGACGTTTCCGTGGTCATGTGGCCAGCCTGACTAAACACCAAGGTGCACGGAATGCTGTTACCTTCCCACCGAAGTGGTACCTATTTATCTACTTGCAATTTCTTGCTTTCGAACTGCTAGGTTGGCAGGCGCTGGAACTAGAGACGGGAGCTCACTCCGTCATGCGGCAACTCGGGTCTTGAACTGCTGAACTACTGACCTTCCACAGCCTGCAGTTCAGCGTCTTAACCACTTGAGCCACCGCAGCTCCTAAAACAGAGGTAGACAAGCTTTTTGGCCTGATGTCCAACATCCCTTCCCCCCCGCAATATTCTCCCTGGGAGGTTGGTGATGTGCTGGTAAACAGAACCAAGTAGGGAGAGTTGAGAGTTGGGCCAGACACATTGGGAGGAAGCACAGCCCCAGGGATGATGTCAGCAGCATCCTTGGGCCCAGCTGGAGGTTGTTTGGGAGGTAGCAATGGGTATCAGCCATGCCTGTGGCAATGACAGTGCCTTGTCTGCTTTCGTAGAGAACCAGGCGTGGATGCTGAGTCAAATGGTCTAGCATGCAGCTCTTTGACATGCATGCCAGAGATGGCCTATCCCTGATCTAAAGTAAAAACACACGTGCTTTGTTTATTAAATATTTATATATTTATATCCCAGCTCTCCAACAATAAGCTCATTGGCAGCTTACAGTAAACTCAAACAATACAATACCACTCATGAAATTATAGTCATCAGTGTAGAACCGTGATTGCAGTAAAAATGGGGAGGGAGTTCCATAAGCAAGCCACGACATGGAGAGGGGTGAGGGAGAGATATAGGAAGATGTTGTGTGACGGCAAAATATTTATTTGAAAGAATCGGATGTATGTGTGTGTGGTCAGCTTGGTGCTGAAGAGGTGGCTATTGACTCTTCAGGTGACGTGACATGAGGCAGTATTTATTTTTATTTTATTTATTTATGTCTCCTTTCCACCCATTCATCTTCATATTGGTGGCAGCTCAGTCCAAATCTCCAGATGACCTCTCGTAGTAGCTTGTTGAAAAGCATGGGGGACAAGATGCAGGCCAAGTGTCTAGGGCCAGAACAGCCATCCCCCAGCACCACACGCTGAAACTTACCCTCGAAGTAGGACTGGAACCACATAAGAACAGTGCCTCCCTGTCCCATTTCTGAAAGGCAATCCAAAAGGATACCAAAACATCAAAAGCTTCCGAGAGGTCCAGGAGACAAGGTTGCACTTTCCCTGTCCATCTCCAAGGTGACCATGGCTGTTTCAGCCCTATAACCAGTCGTTCCAGTCCCCAAGCAATAAGTTTCCCCCCCTGGTCAGATTGAGTTTAGTGTCTTTTATCTACCTCAACTGGTTTGCTTGCTGTGACCAGTGATCAAAAATGTAATCTCACCATGGTGTTCCATGCTCTAATCCAGAGGTGTTGAACTCATTTGTTACGAGGGTTGGATCTGACATAAATGTTGCTTTGTCGGGCCGGGCCATGTGTGCCATAAATGTTATGCCAGGTACCAGCGATATAAACTTTATAAATGACTTAAGCAAACCCCATTAATGGTATTGTTTTTAAACTCAGAATCCAAACAGAAGCATTTGATTCCTAGGAATGAAAGCAATTGATTATTAGGAAATCCACAAAAGCCCCAATAAACGTATTTAATTATGTACAAGGTTTTCCCCAAGGGATACCA